GTGCACTGCTCTTATTAATACGATCACCAGTAAAGGAATGACAGATTATGAGCTATTGAATTTTCATTAAGTGAAGAAAGATACATGGGGCCATTAGCTGATATGGTCCAAATCAGTTTGAGAGCTGAAAGAAGAATTAAGTGAAGTTGAACTCAGATAATTATTAATCTGTTGATAGACAGAAAATAAACCACTGAGCACTCTCCAAACAGTTCTTTAACTGAATAATATCACAGGCCTTCCTCTCTTCTGCCCAAAGAACGAAATATTTCTTTATAGGTCTCTTGTAAGTACATGACATTGGGACATTTTAAAACCTTTTAAAACAAAATATTCTGCATTTCCCCAAACACTCTGCTTTAGGAAAGGAGGTGCAAACATGTGTTAGATATTTGATAGTCATGTTGCTAAACATCCCACCAGAAAGTGCTCGAGTTCTTACCATAAGTACAGTATTAAAATTCTACATAAGTGTCGTATTTCACCACTGCTTTTAAAGGACTGCTTTAAGTGCTGTTCTCAACAGAATATATGTAGCAGTTTAATTACATCTGTACACTTTTCTGAAAGCTGGAAGCCAAGTCAAACTGCTGTTCAAGGACCCAAGCTTATCACCCACTGTAATTTACTCAACATTTCTGGACATCATGACGTTCAGAAAAGGGAATAACCTACACTTTTGCACAGCAGACAGCTTGACAGGAGTGTGATTTTGATGGAGATCTGCAGGAGCAACCATCACATCAACACTAACACCGCTGTTAATATTTTCCTATTAATGCACATTTATGCTGACTACTGCAGGTAATTAAAACCTCTAGAAGCAAGAGGGACAGCACCAGCACAACATGACACCCACATGCTATACGGTTTACAGCCAGGTCCCGTGTCCGCAGCAGCCCGGGCCTGGGCAACACTGGAGCGCTGCTCGGAGCGTGTCGCGTGGGTGCTCCCGATCCCAGGACTGCTGCCCTGGTGCCGTGGCACGCAGCTCTGCTTGCAGAGCACAATCGGCTCATTCAGAGAACTCACGTAACAAATTGTCCCATACAGAGCAGCTATCAGGCATTCAGTGCCTTTTCATCCTTCAGGATGAAAATACTGCAAAGTATTTTGGCAGATAAGTACCTTTTCAGCAATTATGCTGGAATTCAAAGCACACTCTTCATAACAGGGAATATTTTGAAGTGGTGAAAGGCTGGAGGAGATCTATTTACAAACAAAAAGATTAGAGCTCCTTCTGACCCCACAATCAATGGAAGGATCAGACAGGACATAGCCTATTGAACACACGCTTGCTTCCAAACTGGCATGTCCTCTCTACAATTTAGCAGCGAGAAACAAAGCTACCAGTTCTCTTGTTTTAGATGTGAAGCCTAAATCCTGATCTCCTGACTGAAACCTAAAGACAGATCATCTTGACAAACCTCAGTGTACCCTTCTCAAAGGTCTGCTAAGTTCTGCTGGAAATTTTAAGAGCTACCATAGGAAAAAGGAGAGGTGGGAGAGAAACAAGACACATGCTATGAAGTGAAGGAGATTTTCTACTTGGGCTTCTGACAAGGGTACTTCCTATGTCTGCCACAATCCCTAACATACTGAAGTACTTCTTAGCTCTTATGGGATCTGGGTCTGCTTTAAGTTCAGTTAAAGTTCATCTGGCAGCTACGTCAGCCCGTTCCTCTGGTGAGTATTCTTGGTCTTTGTACCCACGATGGAAAAAAGCTTGTTATCCTGGGGCTTTTTTAATTCAAAAAAAAAAAAAAAAAACCTATAACAGAAGGGACATGGACAGGGTACTATGAATTTTCCCAACAAATCTACACTCTGAAGAGATCTAAATCTTTTGTTCATAAGACTCAAAGTTAAATCTTGAATACCTTATTTCCTATTTGGTGGAAGACAATGGTGTATTTCCTTGGTAACTGATTTAATTCCTATTTGGTGGAAGACAATGGTGTTAAATCAGTTACCAAGGAAATACAAGGGACCTTCTTGCACACAGCATTTCAGCACAGGTAGGTAATGCTCCTACATCTTCAATCCCTATTCAAAGTAATTCTGATGCAGTGTTTGGGGGTGGGGGGGGCAGTGTTTGTCATCTTGTCTGTCTTGCTACAAGGAATATCCAAGGCCCATAATCCAAGAGAAATTACTGCCTTGCACAATTGCTCACTTCCTACATTATCACTGTTTATGGCTGTAAGATGACCAAGGACATGCTTAGTTTTCAAAGACCATCCAGAAAGGACAGTACTTCGATTCTTCTCGGCTCAGTTACTGGGATGTTCCTTCTCTTGCGGGGAGAGGAATAGGATCACTGCAGCAAGAAGGAAACAGAACATGTAAGAAAATAAAGCATGTTTACAAGCAGATGTTATTTATCTAGCACCTATGCGTCTTCATCCCTTTTGTCTGGGTAGGGTCATTAGAGATAAACTGTTATTCAGCGTGATTACACACCAACCCCCCAACTCATCTGGCTGTTGAATTACACTTTTATCACACTGTAGCTTCCTAGAGCAGGTATCCTGCTTACACAGTATGAATTGCCCAGGACACAAACTACTTCATAGCATTTTGAGTAAATATAAGAATAAGAATTAGGCTATGGAGTGTAACTGAAAGTAAGGCAAGAAACTTGGGAAATAAAGGGAGAAAGAATGAGGACAAACAACAATAAAACAAAGGAAATGCCTAAAAACTACTTCAATACATGTATTAAAAAGACAGAAGACATTATAATGAGGCTAGCTTGCAAGATATTTATCAGCTGTATATAACAAGTTATTTCATATTTCATACTTTTAATAATCCCAAATCAAATGTATTATTACCTTCCAAGGCATGCACCTTAAAAGGAGATTGTGCTCTGGGGACAAGCCTAATTTTCATTTAGAACCAAGTTAATCATATTGCTTAGCATAGAACACATAACACTTTGTCTATAAATCTTTTTGTTGTACTAACATAAATGGAGTACCTCAGCCATATTCATCACACATGTTTCCTAAGCAGACCAATACTGAACAGGCTATCAATTGAACTATCACTTCTGGGGTCAATATATCACATATTAGTTCTATCTCAAACTTATTTTGCCATAAAAATCAGCAAATGACCACAGAGCTACAAAATGCTTGAAATATTGCCAATAATCTTATTGGTAAATTTCCCCTCTTCATTTCCAGTCATGATAAAAAACATTTTACAGCCTTCTCCATCTAGTAAAGGGAGTCTAAAGCAGTTAATCAAGCTACTATTTTTCTTCCGTTTTCTTTCTTCATTGCTGTACAGCATTCTTATTCAACAGCAGGGGAACAACACGCTCGTACATTAAGCCATAAGGAGGGGTGAGCAGCCCCAAGCTTCAAGGGAAAACTTCAAGCCATGCAAGTAACCAACAAGAAAGGGGTACATCCTACTGCTTGCCCTCCAATTACTGTTCTCTTGCACTAGCATCCCTGATGCCCTGAACAAGCTGAAGGTGCTAAGTCTACTTCCCCAAAATGGCCTTTCTACCTTGCTGCTGTCAAGGACAATGTCCTGCTGGACAAAGCCACCATTTCTGTTCCCAGAACTCTTTCTCTACTCTTATTGGTTTATAAAGTGGTCAACTGTGGGCAGGCCACTCTTGCCCTCCAGGCTTGTCCCAGTCTTCCTTGTCTGACACAGACCTAGCTCGAGGGTCGCTGCTTTGTGCTACCAGCTTTTCCTGTTTACATTTGTTGCGTGGGGCCTTCCTTTGCAGCCTGCAGGGCTTGGTACCCCTTGCACTGAAGGACTGTGCTGGCATCACTCATCTTTCCCTGGAAGAAGGATTCCAGTAAGGGCTGAAGCAGTGAACTTGGCTTAGATATAAGACCATCAGATGACAAAACGTTTCATTTTGACCCCATTACAGTACGAGAAGGGAAAACATTCTCCTCAGTTTCACTGCTTTCCTCAGCTTCATAAAGGTGTTTAGGCAGTTCCTATATGACATTCATTTCCTTTCATAAAATGAGAGAAAAGCAGCAACAGGAACCCAGGTAAAACCCTCATCTAAGTAAAGGGATTAAAAAGAAATAGAAGCAGCAGGAAAAACAAGAGGTTCCCTACTCTCTATAACCATATTGTTCAATGCACAACATCAAGCGCAACATGCACACACACAGGGAAACACAATCGGAAGACAATTACTGAAAATAACTTAATGTTTGAGAAAATTTGTAGTTTAGTGGAAATATGCAGCAATAACTGGCATTAAACAGGGAAGATAGGCAAGTCAAATTTCCTCTTCACCACATAAAAACTCAAAGACTCTCTCATTAAGGACATCTCTCAAATCAGTACTTAATTGTGGCAAATATTACCCTGACCAGCCAGCAAATGCAGCATAGTTTAGTGAGAAGATGGACAAGGAGGAAAAAAATAAAATCAGGCACAATTTGCACAGTTTGTTTCCTGGAGTAAAATAATTTATTTCTCAAGTGTAACCAAGGAAAGAAATGAGTGTTTCTTCATTTCAGTGTGTTTGCAGATAAAGAGATAATAAAACAACAGAACATGCTTATTAAGATACACATTTAAGGAATTTTTCCTTTTCACAGTTTAAATATCCTTAATAATTTTAGGGCTGTTTCCACATTTCATCCCTTTAATAGTACTCAGGGAAAAATTGATGGAAAATACAATGGCAGTAATTAGGAAAAAGGAAAAAAAAGATTTCAACTGAGATTTTTTTTTCCAGACGGCGTAAGAAAAGCTGCCCAATTCCCACTAACTTATTTAGTCAACTTTTAAAATACCAACTACACAAACTCCTTTGGCCCTCCATCCCACCATCTACAATAATTGAGAAAGAAAGGGGTATAGAATTAGCACGCCACTATTCATGAAACAATTAAGCTCATTTATGAAAAAATGACATCAATGATGAGACACTGTATCATTATATGATTTCCCACATAAAGATAATGAACAAATTGCACATTTAACAAAATAATTTAGAGTCTTACCAGTCAATAATGACTCTTGTTTCACTGGTACTCCATGAAGTACTTCAATCAAATGGACAGATGTGTGAATCAGACCCAAGTTCCTATGGTTAAGTTGAAAAAAAAATTGTTTGATATTAAATACACTAAAATACGGAGGCATGCCTCTTCATTAAGATAGCAAATTATTGAAGTCCTCAGAAACTTTGAAATAAAAGAGAGTTTTGCCTACTTAAATGTGCTCGACTACATCAACAGCTACAATATTGCTATCACAAGGAAAATAAATGGGCTTATTTTTTGTTTCAAACCCCTAGCTTAGCCATAAACACTTTGCATTCCTCAAGACAGAAGACTTGTATCCTTTGTCATAGAGACCCTCTATATCTCTATCACAAAAGGAATATCTAGAATGTAAGCAGTTTTCACACTGTCTAGGCTACCATCTTTCCAAATAACCTGTTCTATTAATAGGTAACACAGATATAACACACAACATTACTGGTCGCTTTACAAGATTTAGTTACTTAGTTAATATTTCATCTCTCACTAGGACATGTGCTGATAACATGCACACAGAGGGAGGGGACCAAAACCCCTTTCAAATCTATAGCAACATCATGTAATTACACTTCCTTAATATGACAAGTAGTAAAAAGAGATACCACAGTTTTATAACCCTTTTATTAATAAGCTTTAAAGAATATCAAATAAACACAATCATTGTGTAAACAATGTTCATTCTGAGCTTTCACATATTCTTATGGCCAATCACAATATTCAGCTCCTGGACCAACAGCCACTGATAAATCCAGGTCAGTCCTGCCACAAATACTGCCTCAAAAACCCCCAAAACAGAACAAAAACAAGTTAATGCTGTGATGCAGTTGAGAAGAGACACTAACCACCCCACATGCCCTCTCATGCTGCCTTAACAGCTCTTTAGAATGATGCATGATTCCCGCTCTGAACCTTTAGAAGATGCTGTTTGTTAACTGTGGGAAAACCTTCAGGCTACCAACTTATCTTCAACTGAACATCAGCCTGAGCATTAGCAATTTTGGAGTAAATTCAGAGCTAAGAACCTTTTCCTCCCTTTTTCTAAATCCCGTGTTAAAATTAACAGGTCATGTCTGCAATGTAAACAATATAGCTTAAATACAAGTTTATTGCTTCCAGTTTAAGCGTTCAGCAGAAGTGCCCATGTATGTTACTTAGCAATAAACTTGTAAGATTTTAAATACCAGCAAAGTAATTAGTGAATCAAAAGAACAACATGGCAAACCTACAGGGAAAGATGCAAAACTTCATTAAGCGAAACCAAAAAAAAAAAAAAAGTAACAATCATTTATACTTGCTCCAATAATAAAGATGTGGTGGTGGCACAACCTGCCAGAAGTTTGGTTAGTTGGATCAAAAATGCCCAAATGACTTTATTTCCAAAAAAAATGAAAACAGCAGATGAGGCAGGACAGAAAGGAGATGAAATTTTAGAAGATATCAATACTACCTGTATCAAACCTCCACACCTGAGCATGAGTTACTGAAAAATATTGTATCACCACAGGTAGATGCTGGGTAATCATACACCTACAGATGTTTGCTACATCGATACATACTCTTTCACATTAAGTTTTACTATAAAAGGAAGCCAAAGATGTATTTAGAATTTTAAAAAATATACACATACACACTGGTACACACAGAACTTATTAACATGAAAAATTTCCTAATCTCTCCCAGTCCCAATTACTTTTCAGGATGTAAAACAGAAAAATCGACCTAGGAAGAAAAAAAGCATCCTATTCCTCAGCAGTTTCAAAGTTTGTTACACAATCTAATTGTCTATAATCTTTGCCTTCTATAAACTATCAGTTTTGATCTCATTCAAAAAACTTACAGGTTTGGGGTTTTTTTTGTTTGGTTGGGGGCTTGCTTTGCATTTTTTGTTTGGTTGGTTTTTTAGTATATGCATGATTTTCCTTCCATTTACAACTTCTGATCACCCAGGACATTTAATTCCAAAACTGACCACGGATTTAGAACAATTTAAACCCTACATGGCTGATTTACAGTTTGCTCAAAGCACTCAATGTGGTATTTAAGGTCACATAAGTAGCTATGCTGCTACAAAGCCAAAATGGTACCTGATGAGTGGCCCACATGGTCATTCATGCTATAAGCATGGTCAGAGGGTTGTGTACACACTCACCTGTCTCCTTCTGCAACCTAAAGGAAGCTAAATTACTAGCAGCTCACTTCCTAAACACAACAGTGCTAACTCCATCACTGATAATTAAGCAGTGTACTTAACTCCTTACACTATCAAGAAAAAAAAAAAATCAAAGAAAGGGTATAGCACTTTCACAATCAACTCATACTAAAGACACAAATGCTTCCTTCCATTATTCAGCAGTGCCTACAAAGAGACCTACAAAGAGCTCAACTATTTCTGCTACTTGCCTATTTCATTTGAAGGCACGGAGTCAAGCAGGAAATGCCAGCTAATAAATCAACCAACACAGCAGGGTAAAATAAAAAAATCTATATAGAACACACACATCAGAAGGTTATATTTTTGCACGGGTCATAACGATACCTCATGACATGTTGATTCTTGGCACACTGAACACAAGCGTTCCTCAGACACCTGAAACACTCTGCTATGAGCAGCAGGCAGGCATCTGCATCTCCCGACTCCCAGGACTCCTCCCGTACTCCTTCCACTTCATTTGAGGCTTTCATCAGGATTTCCAGGACATCCCGAAATAAACTTTCTTCTGCCATTTCTCTGAAATAAATAAAGATGTAGAGAGGAGGAAAAAAAAATTGCTATCAAAAAGGATCTTCAGGTTAATTAAAACAACTGAAACTATAACTGCTATAAGACATGTCTGCAACAATCTCTAATCATCTTTTATGTACATGGCCCTTCAAGTACAAAGGCAAAAGGGCTGCCATGGAGTTTTGTTGTCTAGTGTTTCTCACAGCTTTCCAAAGCCACTTTGGAATCTTAAAAGAAAGTCTCCCTAGCTCCCTAGTGACTATGCACGACGCCACATGTTCTGGTGAGAATTTGGAATTGTTTTAATTAATGACCACAGGTTTAGCACAAGATGATTCAGAAGAACCTACCAGAAGCTTCACTACAAAATAGCACAGAACTGCACTAACCACCATTCTGAAGTGTATGAATCAGGGTCAAGAGGGAAAGACTTTATCTACTCCATAGGCCTCAATATACCTCAACACATTATGCAACTTTCAGTGTATTGAGACTTAACAAAATAACATTGCAATGTCACAAGCACAAAGAGCAACACTAAATGAATGAACAGCTCAGAGAGCTGATACTGCCGGACTGAACTGAACACCCGGATTCACCAGATTCACTAACAGCAGTGGGCATATCTGCACATGATCTATCACACACACGTACACAGTGTTTCCAGACTAGAGCTTCGCATACTCTCCACTGATTTTATCTTCAGAAAGGAGATGAGGGCAATAGATTAAAACCATAGATAACTTGGACTAGATACATCATGCTGGTGAGAAGAAGCCACACCAAAGAGTGTTCATGGCTCTGCAAAAGGAACGTGCAATAAATTTTCTCATGCAATACTCCTGACCAGAGTCAAACAAACCCAGGAAATCCAAGTGCCGTTTCCTCGTCCCTTAAAAAGGTTTATGGGATACTCGAAATCAAAGGGGAAAGTTAGAATATAAGTTTTAAGACACAAGGTTAAGAAATATCTCCTAATAACAATATTAAATGAAACGCAAAGTAAAATTAAACAACATATTTTAGCCCAGAAATCTCTTCACTCATGGAGATTAGTAGATGATACTGTATTACTGGATTGAGGCTGGTTCCCTCCAATATCCAAACATTTGCACAATTAGAAATTCTTCCTACTCTTTACCCAAAGGCAAATACACCTCCATTAAATCAAACCATCTGCAAAATTATCATTCAGTTGCTACATTAGATTTCACATCTCCAGGAAATACATAATTTACTCTATCATCTCACCATATTACAGATGAAGACAAATAACCTCATACAATATTGAGCTACAGAAAAAGCAAGGCACTAGTCAGTTCCATCAACACATGGGGGAAGAAATAGAAGATAGTTTCATTTCTATCCTCAGTAATAATGCCTCTGAAGAAAACTAGCACAAGGAAAACAAAACAAAACACAGATATGGCCTGCAGTCATAAAGAAAACACAAGAGAGTTCATATAACCGGAAACAAGATTTGGAGTTTGAAGGTTTCTTGAGAAAGACATTTAAGACTTGACTCTTCCACATACAAGAAGCTGACAGCAGTTTCTCTTATATTTACCTATGCAATGAGCTGGATTATCACACGGAAACACTTGATTACATCTCCACTCCAAATCACAAAATCAGTGGTCAATGAAAAATTTACAATTTACCAATTTACAACATTCAATTACTTTAAATTGGCAGAATGTGAAAAACACTGCAAGTGCTTTTATTTGTGTTCTAGTGATGCCTACCGTGAAAATAAACACCTTACAGTCATTTCAAGCTTGGAAGAGTTTCTATTTTTGTTACAGAATTATACTACAAAGAAGCAGTTTTAACTCAATATTTGATTCCAAGAATAAAAAAATAAAGCAAGCTATTACGATGATATTTTTCCCCTAATATTAGATTTAAAGTCAAGAGTATAGAGATTTGCACTGAAAGTTGTCTAGCAAAATACTAAGATGAAAGTCTTGTCTGTTCCAAGAGAGCAAACGTGACACACAATGAATTCATTGTGGATGTGGATTTATGGTATCAGCAAAGGTAGACAGACCTCCAAATCTCTCCAGTTTTGCTCACTGTGAAGGAAAACAAGCACATGCTCAAGCCAGGTGTTTCTGGGTGGAATTCAAATCTCTTCCTACAATTCAAAAGAACAACCTTTACATCTTAAGGGAACAAGCGGCAGTTATCCTAAGAGAAAGGGGCATGACTTCAAAGTTGTTTGATATAGTAGGGTTTTCTTCAGATAAATTTAAATGAGACTCTTGCACATGAATGCTTAAGTACATCAGTGCAATTTGAGTGTGTGCTACAAAGGCATTCAGGAATAAATCAAGAGTTATTGCAGGACTGCTTATATTAATATTTTAAAAATAATCTTCTCTGTGTTATGTCAAAGACTCACCTACAGATAAAAACAGCATCTATGATTGATTAAATCATATTTTTGAAATGATACTCTCCTCCCATAACCTTTTTCCAAATCTTTAAATACTAATCCACTAAATTAGCAAGTGGAGAGACTTTTTACAGCTTTTAGATGCTTTTGTAAACGGGCCTTGAAATCCATACAAAATTGTTCTGTGAATTTTCCAAAAACTTCTATTTCCTATTTTTTCTTACTTATGACAGAATATTCACAGGTTGCTGTTGCCACCTGTCCTTGATTTCAACATAAAGTAAAACAAGCTGCTGCAACCCAAAAAGAAGCCCAGAGTCAAGCAGTCAAGCTTTCAGACAAGACACAGTCTCTTATTAAATCAAAATAGTTACAATTCATATAACAGTATCAAAGACAGATTACTCCCACTCCTTAAAAGAGCTAAGATCTGCTAAAAATAGTAACTGTATCAGATAACATCTAGTGAATACAGATTTGAAAGCACTCATACGACCCTGCCACAAAAGCATGACACTGGTCAAGAATTACATGAAGAATCCCAAACTGCTGGATGGTTCATTTCCACTCTATGTTGTGTGAGCGGTATTAGAGGACCTCAAGCCTCCCAAATTTGACCATACTCATGTGGTTAGAAATTATTTCCCTACCCTTACTTGTTCTAAAATATGGACCACCAGAACTCAAATTTTTTAAAATTATTCTGTAGCTACACGCAATAAACAAGATCCATCACCAAAAATCACAATTTCAAATACTGAGCATCCAGTGCCTTGTCTTATGGTTCAAGAGCAACAACTGCATGCTCCAAGGTTGGCACCTTTATTTCTTCTGTCTTTAGCAACTTCAGCCATTAGAAACCCCAAACGTGTTAAGTCAGGGTGAACTTCACACCAACCCACTTGGTCTTCTTCCACCTTCCCACAAGACCTGAAGACATCTCTGGATGATGACTCTGAACCTTCGCAAGCCCAAGAAATCTTCCTAATGCCAACCCAACACCACCATGTACTGAGCCCTTGCTCTCCACAGCAAGCGCATGCTTTCTGTGCATCCCTGGAGGTTACTAACAAGACACATGAACTCTTCTCCCCACGTTCAGCACACACAGCCTGTGGAGGTACATGAACCTACAGCTGACAAGGCCCAAAGTATCAACCAAAGACCACATGTTCGTTCACAGCAAGCAGCTGCAGCTTGTGCTGCCGCCCCAAAGGGCTTTGGCAGGAGCAGCTTATCCCAGCGGGGCTGTACCAGCCTATTCCCCTGGTTAAGGCGCCGAGCTCCAGCCAGGACAGCCCTTCTGCCTCCGGCGCCGCCAGGCAGCGCAGGGCTCGGAGCTCCCTCCCCGCTGCCCCACGTGGCTGCGGCGGCGGCGCCTCCTCCCCG